AATCTCAATTTCTTCACCATCCATCCTGATGCTGCCGATTGGCCCAGTGGTGAAAATCTTTGTCGTCTTGATATTGAGCCTCAATCCATATTGAAGGCTGCAGTCCTTGAACTTCTTCAGGAAGCACTCCAGGTCCTCTTCAGTTTCAGCAAGTAGGGTTGTGTCATCTGCATAACACAGATTGTTGATAGTAATGGCTAATGAGTGTGCTAGAGATAGAATACAGGCACTGTTATCTTGACTTACTTTTCTCAGGAATAACATTCTTTGAAGGCTGCATAGTGGAGGGGACTGGGGGTGGGGTGGGGGATTGTATAACAATGAAAGAATTTTACTTTTAAAAGATAAGAGTGAACTGGTGGGGGATAGAGGTGGGCAGGGAGAAAAATGCAACAATGAATGAATGGAAATCCAAAGTCTCTGTAAACGTTCATTAAAATTAATAATAATAAAAAAAAGAAATAACATTCTAGTGGCCAGATTTTTGTAGACATGTTTGGTCCCTCGATATGTCTGTCTCAAAGAGTAGTTCAGGGATCTGCATCAGAGTTACCTGAAGGACTTGTTACAAATGCAGATCTCCAGGTTCCTCCACAGCAGGGTGGCATTAGAATGCCTAGATTTCATGCCTATGAATATGTACTCCAGCTTGTTGTTGGTGTGCACTGTAGAGTCAGAACTGACCCGTAGCTGACCCTCCGGCAACTTTTCAGAGACAGTTAATTGCACTTGAGGAGCGCACCCATCTTTCTCCTGTGAAGCAGCCATTGGATTTGAACCATGTGCCTTCAGGACTGTAGCATAGCCTCTTTTCTTGTTTAAAAAAATATGTTGTGATTTTAGTGAAAGTTTACAGAAAGTTGAGTTTTCATTCATTCATTCCTTGTTGCATATTTCCCTCCCTTTCCCCTCATCCTTTCCCCATCCCCAGTCCACTTTGCAATGCACCTCTTGTTCCAGAGGGTTGTCATCACATGTAATGGTGACTCATATATTCCTTTCAGACAGTTTTTCCTCTCATCTGTCCTAATGCAGTGTTGTTATCTATCCATTTTTCCTATTCTCCCTCCAAGGCCCCCATAACGGTCCTATTTAATAACAGTGTTAGGCAGCATTTGTCCTTTTGTGACTGAGATATTTCACTCAGTATAATGCTTTCCAGGCTTGCCCATGTTGTGTAATGTTTTTAGAAAGTCATTGCTTTCATTGCTGAGTAATATTCCATTGTCTTAATGTGCCATCATTATTCTATCCATTCATTTGTTGATGGACACTTGGGCAGCTTCCACATTTTTACTATTGTGAATAATGCAGCAATAACTATTGTGAATAATGCAGCAATAAATATGGATGTGCATTTGTTGTGTTTGGGTGGAAGCTCTGGTTTCTTTAGGGTATATTCCCAGTAGTGGAATTACTGGGTCAAATGGTATTCCTGTCTCCACCTTTTTGAGAAAGCGCCAGACCACATTCCATAGTGGTTGTATCATTTTACAGTCCCACTAACAGTGAATAAGTGTTCCAGTCTCCAATCTCTCCACAAACTCACCAGCATTTGTTATTTACTTTCTTGTTGACCTTTGTGATTGTTGCTGGGATAAGATGACATCTCATAGTTATTTTGATTTGCAGCTCTCTGATAGCTTGGGAAAGTTTGGGGGGGGAAAGCTTTATATATTCTTTTTCTGAACATCTGCAGGATGTGTAATAAGCAAACTGCATACTTTGTAGTGTATAACTTAATCTTGATACATGTTCACACACCAGCGAGAGCATGACCCCAACTGAAAAAAATGAACTCACTCAAAATGACCACATGTCCGTTTGCATTTCCTTTCTCCTGCCCCCTCAACCTCCACAGCCCCCTCAGCAATAACTTGTCTGCTTTCTGTCTCTATAAAATAGATTGCATTCCCAAAACCCCATGGGTTGAATCATTCAGTGGGTATTTTTTGGGGACGACAAGGTCTGAATCACTTCTCTCCATATAATTGGTTTTTTTGGAGTCATTTTCTAAAATTGTCTTTTTTAATTGGTTTGCATAAAATCATTCATATACATCATGTTTCTTTCATTTATGTTGTGTTTTATACAATCATTCACATTTATGCAATCATTTTTATTCATGTACCCTTTGTTCTATATAGTCATTTATATACATCATGTGTTATATAATTCATAACTACTGGTTCATGAATTTTATCTTCATGTCTCATCAAGTGCCCCTTGTACCTTGCCTAAATAATTGCTTTGATATTTATGCATCTTGCTTTGAGTATCAGTAATAAATTCCTTTTTATTGCTAAAATAGAATTCTATTGTTTGGGATACATCCCCATTACCTTATCCATTTACTTGCTAATGAACATTTTGAATTGTCTTTACTTTTTGTCTAATTTGAATACTGCTGCAATGAACATTCAAGTAGATATTTTGTTGATAGTGATGTATTTTTTTAATTTCTCTTGGATAGATATATAAGATTAATGATTAATATATAATATAATGATTAAGCTATATGGCAAGTATATGTTTAATTTTTCAAGAAATTACCGCACTATTTTTCAAGGTGCCTGAAAATATTTTATGTTCTCAGTATATGAGAATTTTAGTTATACTCGTGTTTGATATCATCAGTCTTTTCCAACGTCAGGCATTCTAATAAATGTATAAAAAGACATCACATTGGGAGACTCTGCTATCAGCAATCTCTGAAAAACTCTAACGAGCAAGGATGTCAGTTTAAAGACGAAGGTACACCTAATCCCAGCCATAGCCTTTGGACAATAAATACAGAAGAATTGATGCCTTTGAGTTGTGGTTTTGGAGAGGGGTGGCGAATATCCCATAGACTGTCTAAAGAACAAACAGATACATCTTGAAGAAAGTGCCACCAAGATGTTTCTTGGAAGCAAGGATGGTGAAGCTTTGTCTCACATACTTTGGACCTTTTGTTAGGAATACAAAAAAGTCCTTGGAAAAGGACATCATGTTTGGAAAGGTAGAGGGTCAGCATAGGAGAGGAAGACCCTCAATTAGATGAATAGATACAGTGATTGTAACAATGGGCTCAAGTATATTGGAGATGATGAGGATGACACATGATAGGACGAGGGTCATATCTTCTGTTCATAGGATCACTGTCACAGTTGACTCAACAACACATAAAACAATAAGTTTATAATGATATCTCATTGAGTTCTTAATTTGTATTTCTCTAATGACTTACTTCTGGGTTATTGACTATGCAAAGGCCTTTGACTGGGTGAATCATAATAAATAATGGATAATATTGTGAAAGAATTAAGAATTACAAAACACTTAATGGTGCTTTTAAGGAGCCTGTCCATGAACCAAGAAGCTGTCATTGGGACAAAACGAGGAGATACTGCATGATTTCATATCAGGAAAGGTATATCATGGTTATAGCCTTCCACCATAGCTATTCAGTCTGTATGCTGAACAAATAATCTGAGAAACTAGATATGACCAAGAATGTGGCATCAAAATTGGAAGAAGACTCATCAACAGTCTGCAGGTGAACCAGGGGGAAAGCTCTGAGTTCCTAGGAAAGTAAGACCTCAATATGTTGTTGTATGCCATCGAGTAAGAACCAGCCTATAAGAGAAGATTGCCTGTCCTCCTCCTCTGGAGCTGCTGGTGGACTTGAGCTTCTTGCCTTTGGGATTGCAGCACAACTTCCTACCACTAGGCTAATTGAGCTCCAGAGCTTATTTTCATGTCTTTCTGTGGTATGTCCCTATGGGGTGTGTGTGTGTGTGTGTGTGTGTGTGTGTGTGTGTGTGTGTGTAAAATCAGTACATTATATTAAGTCAAATGGACATAAATTTGAGGGTGCTAATGGTTTTGCTTTGTTTTTGTTTTCAGGCCAAGAGAGCCTACAGTTTGAAGCAAGTACTAGGTTAGTATTGGATTTTTTTTCTTTTTAAAGTGTTAACTACTGCAGACAGTTCACATTGATTCTGCATCATTTTTAGAACACTCAGCTTATTACAAAGGATTTCAAGTTTTTTTTTTCTTTTAATATAAATTTTCTATCAGCCAGCCTATGGAATCTTTTCCACTGGTGCTGCAAGTATTGCTGTTGAGGGCAGACGCAGCATTTTGTAACCTTCCTTTAACTGCCCTTTGGCTGTTTCCTAGAGTTTTCTTATGACTACTTCCAATTCTACACCTGTTTCCTGCCCTGACTCTTGCTTCGCTCAGTTGGCATCGTGCTCTCCCTGATTTAATTTCTCCTTGTCATGGAGGAATGTGTACACATCCTTTGTTCAGGATGAAGTCCTCAGAGAAGCTGCTTAGCCCACCTTCTTCGTCTTTCATTTGTCTCTCTGCTCAAAACATTCAGGCGTGTCCATTGAACACTTGTTGAATAAACTGTAGACTGTGACCCAGTTTGAATACAGGAGCTTGCTTCATTTTTTCTGGGCTTATGTGGCCTAATTTTGATGCAGCCTCTCAAGGCTCAAAGAAATTATAGAGGTGGAAAAAAGAGAGGCTCAGAAAGACAGAAGAGTTTCTCCCTTCTCCACAACCCACACTCTCTGGACTATCTATCTCTATTACTCTATGCTGTGTTATAATGTTATGATGTGTTTAGAATTTTCTTTTTGGTACACAATGAATTCCTCTAAGCCATAGAGGTTGTCTTATTCAGTTTCTCACCCCTGGGGCCTCATGTAGTACCTGGCAGTTGTATGGATGTTGAGTAAATGTTTGGTGAATAAACAAATGAAAGAAGACATTGACTAATTAAATCAGTTTAGCAAACTACTCAGCCAGCAAAGCCACAGGGTGATGAAGTTCAGCTTTGGGCACAGCTTACTTGTGTTGTAGAGGAAAAAAATAAGTAATCACTGCAGCTACAAGAAGTTAAGAAAGGTAATTTATTTCAGCATGCTGTATAAAAGGAAAAAGATAAAGTGGGCAAGAATCAGGCAGCTGGCAGATCTGTTATTCCTGAGACTTTAAATGGCTACATCTTACAGGAAGATCAATACACATTACAATAGTGAAGTTCCATTACATTGAGGTGTTAAATGGGGTGTTCATATATTTTGCTTCCTGGTTTTTTAATTAAGAGAGGTAGGGACCTGAAAAGACGGTAACTGTGGCATAGTCCAATGGTAACTTAATTTATAAAACACAATGTGTGGGCATAATGTCAATGAAGTAAAGTGTGGGGGTGGGAAGTATTTTTTAAATGTTGTAGTTGTTATGTGCCATTGAGTCACCTGCAACTCATAGTGACCCTATGTATAATAGCTCTAAACCCTGCTCTATCCTGTGCCAATCTTATTGTCTCTAATACACATACCCCCATCACCCCAGTCACTGAGTCAATCCATCGCATCAAGGGTCTTCCTCTCCTGCACTGTTCCTCCACCTTTCCAAGCATGACATCCCTCTCCAAGGACTGGTCCCTCCTTGCAACATGCCCAAAATATGTCAGACTAAACTTCAGAATCCTGTCGCCAAGCAAGAATTCAAATAGAAAAATGTAAAAAATGAAACAATCCAAAAAAGAGAGACCTTTTTATATGGGTAGCAAGTTACTGTTTGCATCTTATCAGAGATACAGGATATTCATAGACACAGGAAAAGGGGAACAATAAGTGTTACTAAGGAGAAGTTTAGAACCAGGTGAGGTTCTTTTTTTACAAAGAGATTGGCTTTTTTATTTGTGAATCTCCCATTTGGGAATAGGGGCACAGACTCTCTTGTTGCTTCATGCTGAACAAGGGTGTTAGATGATAGAGAACACTTTACTTAGTGGTCCTGAGTTGAAGTTGCATGACTTCTTGTTCAGGTAGAAGATATTTTTCTGACATTTTCTGCCCTCTGGACTGCAAGCTGTTTGTGTGGGTGAGTCTAGTGGGAGTGGCTAGCTGAACTTTGAAGCTCCATCCACCATTGCTTCCTTAGCTGGCAGTTACATTTCCCTTTTGTCTCTGGAACCTGGCTCAGGGTTCAGGTTCTGGAAAAGACTGTCTTCAGTTTATCTATAGGAAAGAGAGCACATCTAGAGAGAACAAACTTGTGAGTTACAAAGAAAAGGGCTTTGGAGGTGTTACTTGCAGGTGTACTGGAGGAGGAAGTGGAGGAAAGTGGCTTAGATAAAGTTCCTCATACATACCAGGCAGCTCTGCCCAGGGGTTGGGTGGCTTCCCCCAGGGACTGGGTGGCACTTGCCTGCCACGTGGTTCTCCCCAGGGGCTAGGCAGTTCCCCTTCCATCCCCTGAAGCTCTTTTGAGGTCCAGACCTTGCTCCTTACCAGGGACCATAGCCAGGGACAGCACTTTTAGCTCTAGCACCACCACCGTTGCCCCTTTCCTCTCTGCCAAGTGGTCTAATTGTAACTCAAAGTAGGTATTATGACTTTCTCCTTCCACAAGTGCAGAAGGGGCTTCCAGAGTGGTGAACAGACCTGCTCAAGGTTGGAAAAAAATTAATAAAGGCAGTAGAACAAGGACTCAAACCAAGGTTGTCTCTGTGAGGCAGTGAACTCCATGCAATGCTCTGGTGGGCCATATTTAGTCTTCCTCTGCAAGCAAAATCTTGCTGAATGTCATTTTCAAAATAGCCAGGAGAGTACATTCAGGCCACCACCACCCAGCAGCATGTAGGGTCTCTGGGGTTTTTAATTGTCAGTTGTAATGTTATCTGAGGATACGCCTTGCTCAAGCTCAGACCAGCTTTCAGTGTTTCCTTGACAATAAGCCTCGGCCTCGTCATTCTAAGTTTGAAAGAGCCACCAAGGCCCTTGTCTGCACCTTTGCTCCAGCGATGTGCATCTTATAAATGAAGCCTGAGCATAAGTTTATGTCCTTTTTTTCCTCTGGTGCTACTTCCTGTTACTGCGCTGGGAGTGCCCTAGTTTGCCATTCTCACACAGGCAAAAAAATTGCATCAGGCAGGAGAGACCAGAGAAGAGGACACTACCCAAGTACCAAGGTAGTACAGCCCGTAGAAATTTTAGTGTTGCTTGGGAGACCAGACTTTAGTGGAGTATAGGCTGAAGCAGCAATGAGGAGGCAAAGATAAGGAGGCAGAAATGAGGGTAAAATAGTAAAGATGGATTTATTAGAAAGTTACATCCCCAAAGGCACTGGCCTCCGTCCTTAAAAGGAAATACAGAGGACAAATGCCTCATTAGTGAGGAAGGCTCTATTTATGGCCTGGTTCTCTGGAGTCTGGGCCAATAAGGCGATGCCATGGAGAGTTCAAAGTTTAGTGGGTGGGTCTTATTCTAGTTCCTGTTCTTTGATGTTATCCATGCATCCAAAGTGTCCACTTCTTTATCATTTATGCACCCAAAGTACTATTTTTTTAAAATTTTATTTCATTATTTTTTGTGTGTACCATCAAATCAGATCTGACTGGTACAGGAGGAGATTATTCCTCCTTCTCCAGCAGAGCATCTGGTGGATTCGACCCGTGCATCTCTGAGATTGCAGTTGCAGCTTCTTGCCACTAGGCCACCAGAGCTCCCCAGGCCACCAGAGCTCCCCTCAAAGTACTATTTTTATGTATGTCAGTATCTACTTCCTGACTCTCATGTAACTTTTCCCTTCCCCTATCTTTGGTTCTAATCCTAACACTTTTAAAATTCTGATAATAAATTTCCACAAGAATGGAGCTTTGCTAAGGAAGTGTGGCTCCATAATCAACGTCCTTTGTACCAGCAGGCAAGAAAACGAAAGAGACCTTGGGAAAGACAGCTGTCAAAGACAGAAATTATTAAGGTGCTTGTGTTCCAAGCCACAGTTTTTTTCAGTCACTTACCATTCATCTGGTCAGCGAATAAGGATAACAGAAGAATTGAGGCATTGGGGAAGAGTACTGAATATTCCATGGAACTGCCAAAAGAACAAACAGATGTCTTGGAGAAAGTACAACCAAATGCTTCTTAGGGGCAAGAATGGAGAAGCTTCACCTCACATACTTCAGGCATGTTATTAGAAAGGTCCATGCTTTTGAAAGGGATATCATGAGGGAGCTCTGGTGGTCTAGTGGCAAGAAGCTGTGCTGCAATCCCGAAGGCATGGAGTTCTAATCCACCAGATGCTCCACTGGAGAAGGAGGGGCAATCTCCTCCTGTGCCAGTCAGATCTGAATTGATGGTACATAACAAGAAAATAAGGGAGGGAGGAGAAAGGGATATCATGCTTGAAAAGGTAAAGGGCTTAGCGAAAGAAAGGAAGACCCTCAAGCAGACAGATTGACACAATGACTACAGCAATGGGCTACATATATGAGAAATTGTGAGAATGGTGCAGGAAGGACAAGGTTCAGAGCCGTTGTTCATAGGGTCACTATGCATCGGGCTTGACTAAACATCACCTAACAACAACAGGAGGAAAGTGAGTGAAATTCAGAAGCAACAACATGGAGGTTTCTTTTTTAATTGACCATGAGGCTTCAGAATTAGCTCCATATTCAACAGCTCTTTCTCCTGGGCTCCTGCATAGCTGAACGCTTCACTCTAAAACACCTGTCGTTGGACCTTCAGTATCTAGGTCAGTGCTTATCATTGAATCCAACCTGAAGGAGCAATGGAATAAATGGAGTTTCAGGCCTGGAAAGATGGGAGAAGGGAGCTATCGTGAGCCAGCATGAGGGTTTTTGAGATGTGAAAGGATGAAAGAAGATCCTTCCTCTTCCTCATCTCTTCATTTTAAGATGTGCAGCCAAGTAGACGTTAACCATTTAATCGAGTAAGTGGTAACTCTTAAACATTACCTACGGGCCATCTCTGACTCTGCAGAGTTTGAGGCACTCTTAGACTGAAGTTTCAAAAAAAGGTGAAGCAGGTTTGAGAGGTAACCTCAGGTGAATGAGCTGGTGTATGGAGGAATGGAGATGCCATTCTGTCCAGTTATACAATGCTTATAAATGTTTGTTTGCTTTTTCTAAAGCAAAGAAAATGAATTGAAATGTGTACCTTGGACGGAAAATATGGAAAGACCCACCAGCAGTAGCAAGGAAGACTCAGTCCTCAGCATCTGTGGGATTAAAGGTAGGGGCCAATGGGAAAGTGAAGCATGCAAGAAATCGGATTGTGCCTACTGCTTATCTGAGTCTTGTTGTTGTCATTGTGTACCTTAGAGTCGGAACTGACCCGTAGGTGACCCTCTGGGTGGGTTTTCAGAGACAGTTAATCACACAGGAGGAGATTGTCTATCTTCCCGTGAAGCAGCTGTTGGCCTCAAACCACATGCCTCCAAGGTTGCAGCACAGCGTCTTGCCACTAGGCCACCAGAGCTCCCTCATCTGAGCCTTAGCCCTTCCTTAATTATAAATAGGGGTGATGTAGTGGTAAGAAACTGCTCTGCAATCCCGAAGACATGCAGTTAGAATCTATCAGTTGCTCCACAGGAAAAGGATGGACAATCCCCTGTGAATTAACAGCCTTTGAAAACCCACTGGGTCAGCAATGGGTTGATTTCGACTCAGTGGTACATGACAACAACGACAGCAACATGGAAGAGTAAAGCATTTATACCAACTATTGGAGCTAGAAGGAACCCTTGTGATACAATGCTTAAGAGATTGGCTGCTAACAAAAGGTAACTAGTTCAAACCCATTGCCACCATTACCTTGGAAACCCTGTGGGGCACTTCTCCTTTATCTGTTCTATAGATTCACTAAGGATATCTGGTGGTTTATGGTAAGGAATTGCATGCCATCCCGAAGGCACACAGTTCAAATCCACCAGCTGCTTTGTGGGAGAAAGTTGGACAATGTCCTCTTGTGTGATTTCTTGACTCTGAAAACCTGCTGGAGGGTCAGCTATGGGTCAGATCTGACTCAGTGGTACATAACAGTAACAATAGAGTTACTATGAATAATAATTGACTCAATAGCATTGAGTTTTTGAGGTTTGGTTAGTGTTAGATGCTATGGAATTGTCCTCACCTCAAGGAATGTATTTAAAAACAACAACAACAACGAACAACTGTTTTGTGATTTGATTGATAGTTTAGAAAGCACATTAGTTTTCCGTACAACCACTTAGAGACATTTTGGGTTTTGATTCAAATCCTTATATAGTAACAGTGCTCTTCGCACGTCTCTGATTCCCATTCCCATTCATCCTTCAATGCTGTTCATTTTGCCTTCTGAGCTTTATCACTGAATGCATGCTTTCTTCTCATGTTGTGTGGGTAATTGTTCTAAAGAACAGCTCCCTGGTTTGCCTAATAAGTCTTATAAGCTTATTGTTATAAGCCTATCTATTATTTAGTTAAAAGTTGAGCCACAAGGTGAGTTTTCTTCTAGGTGTGAAGGATGCCTGAGGGCCATAGTGTCAAGGGTTCCACCAGTCTCTGTCAGACCAGCAAGCCTCACGATTTTTATGATTTTTTAGCCTTGTTCCACATTGCTCTCCCTCTCTGATCAGGACCCTCTACATCCATCCCTTTTACTGCAATCATCAGTGGTAACCAGGCACCATCTGGTTTCAGGGTGGTTACAGAAGTGGAGGTTCCACATAATCCATTAGTCCTTTAGACTAACTGTTTCCCTGTGTCTGTGCTCTGTTCACTCTTCTTAGTGCCAGAGAGGGAGCCCAGTATTGCACTTTACATGTCTCCTCAAAAGCTTTTAAGACCCCAGTTGCTGCTCATCAAAGCAGTGTGTAGAACATTGTGGGCTGTGTGGTATGTCCCAAGACTACTTCTCTGAGGCCTCAGGATGACTAATTCAATTCTAATGGGATTGGATGTGATTAAGAATCATAAATAACTTTGATTCCTGTTGGCTGCACTCTTAGCATCATGTACAAACAAGAATGCAGAAATATCATCAGCCAAACCTCTGGGCGTGGTCCCTTTCACCTGCCTGGATCTGTTCCACTTGCCTGTGTACCTTTGTATCTACTTGTGAATGAATATTTCTTTTCATTATTGATGCAGAATTGTATAAGTAATAGAGTTTCCCTTTGTATTTCTTGTGCCCCTTTCTTTAGAGTTATCCTGCTGGCCACACCCTTAGTGTCTATTTCCTTTCCCTTCTCCCAGCTTAATATGTGTCTGTTATCCAGAAATCTCTTAGCAAGGAGCTCTGGTGCCTTAGTGTGTTACCTATTGTGCAGCTCTCCAGAAAGGCAGTTGTTTAAATCTACCACATGGGAGACAGATGGGCAGTGCTGGAAACTGACTCAGTGGCATGTTCTCTAATTTCTGATATTTCCTTCACCACTACCCTCTATCCCTGCTGTTGTTGTTATTATGTACTTGGAGTCAGAAGTGACCCAGAGACAGTTATCACATGGGAGGAGATTGCCCATCTTTCTTCTGCAGAGTAGTTATTGGATTCGAACTACATGCCTTGAAGATTGCAGTGCAGCTTCTTACCACTGGCCCACCAGAGCGCCCTGTTGCTGTTATGTACTATCGAGTCGCCTATGACCCATAGTGACCCTATGTACAACATTTCTGAAGCCTGCCCTGTCCTGAACCAGTCTCACGTCTCCAACACATCAGCCTCCATTGCTCTAGTTACTGTGTCAATCCATCTCATCCAGAATCTTCCTCTCCTCCACTGTGCCTCTCCCCTTCAGAGCATGATGTCCTTCTCCAAGGACTGGTCCCTTCTGGCAGTATGGCCAAAGTATGTGAGATGGAGTTTCAAAATCCTATCATCCAAGGAGAAACTTGGTTTCATCCTAGTAACTGTTAAAGAATATTTCCCTCTGAGAGTAAACGTTCCATATCATAGGTTCCTTTTTACAGGGTAAATAATTCGTTCTTTCTCCTGGAAAGCCTCTGGGTAGGTTTGAACCACCAGGCTTTAACTTAGCAGCATGTCATCATTTGCTCCCATGGGAAGGTCTGGTGACTTAGTGTTAAGAATTGTATTTGCCAAAGCAAACAGTTTGAGCCCACCAGCTGCTTAGCGAGAGAAAGATGGGCAATCTCCTGTCACACGATTTACTGCCTCTGAAAACCTGCTGGAGGGTCAGCTCTGAGTCAATCCTGACTTGATGGTACACAACAACAGAATATAAAGAAACTTTCTGCTATCCATTGGTGTCGCTATGATTAGACCAGCATTTAAATGAAGAGCAGATGTCTCACATGGAAAAGGAACCCCCACTTAAAAGGGAAAAAAACCACAAACCCAAACATCATTCACCTTAGGCACAGCGTGACTAGAACACCAGGACACGAGGTGCTGGTATTTATTTCCTGCTGTATGTATCCAGGGTCTCTGGATTTCACCTCCTCTAGAGCCATGCCTGAGGAGGGTAGAAGCTTTCCTTCCAAGCATTTCACAACACTTCCGCTCCAATCTCTTTGTGCTTCAGTTTTCCTATCTGCAGAATTGGGCATGGGGCCAAAAAGAAAAAAAAGAGACGTGGAGGTGGTTGTATATTGTGTATTTCAATGGCATAATCTTAGATTATGCATTGATGGGACTTTTAATATGCTGTTTTATTATCTTTTCTTGCTTCCACTATTCAAATAAAAGGCCTTTTACTTTATTCATTTACGACTGCCCGTAGTGACAGCGTGAGTTTAGTATTGGGGTTTGGGGTTTGGATTACCCTGAGATTGATTTGGGAGGACATGGAACAGCCCTTTAAGCACCTACATGACTCTTAATTTAAAAGACATTTATTGAGCCCCAGAAAAGTACAAAAAAGTCTCAGAGCAAGCACAACACTGGTCCACACACCTCAGAGCAAGGATGACTACTCTAAGTTTCCCCCTCCGGCTTCTAGACTCTAGGATGCTAATAAGCATGAAACGGGAACTTAAACAGGAGGAAGGTCACACAGTCTTGGTCAACAAATATTAATAGCAATGGCATTTAATAAGGCCATGATTTTCATTTAGTGTGTGTGTGTGTGCTATAACATTTTATATTTGGAAAATGAAAAATGACCTATTTTCTACCTAGTACAGACCAAAGAAAGTAAGACTTGAGAAAATTCTCGCCTGGTAGAGTTCACAGAATACAGTCCCTAATGCTCTGTCCCTCCCTCCTTCATCCCCCCCTTCCTACCTTTTGTCCCTCTCCCCCTTTCTCTCTCCCTTTTCCCCTCTCTTCCTGTCTCTCTCCCTTCCTTGGCCCTTCCCTCCCTTTGCTCTTTCTTTCCCTCCTCTCTGCTTCTCTTCCTCCCATAATGATAAAACTTGTACCCGTGTGACCTGTAGCAGGACCTCCTGGAGGCATACAATTTTTACCTTTGGTTCTCCTGTGAAGACCTTGGGTTGGAGGTTAACAATTTTAAAACCAGATTTTCGTCTCCTAAATAACTATTTCTGCACCTTCCTTACAATACTGTGTGTGATTTACTGAGATCAGATCATAGCCCAGCTTGCCCTCCTATGCGGAAAACTCCAAGTGGCAAAAGACCTCTTAGAAAGATCCTGCATAAAACAGAAACATGGGCTGAGGCTTTCCTTTTCAAACCCAGAAGTTTCCTTTTAGTGGGTGATGCCACCCATCACAGGGTGTGCTGGTGGCTCAGCCCAGAGGGAATTGTCCTGGTCAACCAAAGGCTGCACCTCTGACAGTTCATATCCACTTGGTAGTTCCAATTCCTTGGGAGAAAAATGAGCAATCTCGTGCATATTCTGCACCCAGGGAAACCCATTCTGATCAATTCTGACTCAAAGATGAGAGAGACAGTAGAAACTTAAGTCTATCAAATTTTGCCAAGTAATAAAGCATGCTGGGGTGTGTGTGTGTGTGTGTGTGTGTTCTGAGGTATTTAACTCCTTTTTTTTCATGTGCCAACAACCTCTTACAGAGTTACCTTTAAAGGACTCTTTACTTGAGGACAGAAAGGTTGACCCTGGTCTACAAACTTGCTAATCACCAGCAGATAAAAGCCAATTGGTTGATTTATAACTTTTTCTTCACCCAGGACAACGAGGTGGGTTGTCCATGTGCCTTCAGTTCCTCCCTTCTGTCTCTGACCCTGCGAATTTGAGATGATTAGACTCAGAAGGCATGGAGTAAGGGCAGGAAACCACGGGTGGCATTGTAAAATCTAAGTGTGGGTT